CACTTACACTTCACACAACCATATTTACAAAAAAAAGCACAAAAACAACGTATACCTAATTTTCTGTAGCAGTGGCAGCAGTAGCAGTTCGTTCTAAAAAAAACATTGTATGCTTGTTTTTCCAAGGAATTTCTTCCATGAATTTCATCCTTCAACACAGCTTTTGAGCTTGATTAAAATCCGTGGAAGAAATATATTCAGTTGAAAAGATAGCAAATACGAGTTCATTTCATAGGTATTAACTTAATGTTCTTAAATACCGAATACCTTCCAACGGTTTCCCGCTTCATCGTGGCTGGGAGGCGTTCCTGGATGTTGGGCTGCGATCTACAGCGGGGGAATTCGTCTCTCTGGCATGATCTCCCAAGCTGAGGAGACTGGTGTTTCCATCAGGAAGCCTAGTTAGGAGTAAACCAATACCAGGATCCGCCACCGACTTGGTATCAAAGTCGCATGGTGGTAAATCTCCCTTTGATCCACAAGGGCTGCGATTGCCTGTGGTGATAAAGACCTGAGGGCAGATTTTGGCCAGACTGACCTAGGGATTCCAGGGAACCACAACGACTTAAGCAGTAAGTCTCCGAAAAATGGAGATTATGTTAGGGTCCACACAACCAGTGAGGACGGGCCGTTCAAGTATCAAGTAAGTAAATACCGAATCAGAATACTGCTCGTGCAAAACCATGGTACTGAATACATGTTCATGGTGATATGTTGACATGCTACCACACTTAAAATTCGTTGGCTATGACACGAGACGACGCCAAAATTTTCACCGGCGCACAATGAATCATATGTGGCTCATACTGTCCGTCGTGCCTTCAGAAAATCAAAATCAGAAACTGCCTTTTCACTCTTTAAGTCTTTCGGGCCTTCTATTTCACCACACTCTAAAGGTCTAAAGACAGAATGTCACCGCCGAATCATTGCTAATAAGGCTGTCGAATAGCTAAGTGGAATAATGGAAGTATAATAACAGTGTACCGATAGTACCAGGTTGCATCGTTGGCTGAAAGCTTACTCTAGAGGGAGACATATTTAATCAACACGTGCAGTAAAGCCAACGAAGCAGTCGCAGAAGTGAGGACAGTCGAATCCTCAACAAATGGGAGTGGTATAATGGCGTTCAGACGGAAGTACAGAGATAGAATCATATGAATGCGTCGTTTTCTTGCTCAGCAATCGCGTGGTTGTTAAACAGCATACATTTATTTCCATAGAAAAACACAATACAATACAACACTAGCTGACGTTTGGGCAGTATCGCCTTCTTCAGAGTCTGGAAGGGTACACTGATACGCAATTTACTAGGTCAAACCCTTCAACAGCACAAACAGAAAGATGAAAATCTGCTCGATAATAACATGATCAACGGCTTCTCGAAAAACACCGCAAATCAAAACTCACTCAAGTTCTTGAGGCTTTTTGGATAAATGCCAAAAACCCTACAATGAATAGCAGGGATGAATGCCCAGAGGTCATACGCGGCCTGACCGCGTATGTTCGCATCAATTTCTGAAGTGGGATGGTGCAGTCATCAACCATATGCGACTGTAATCAGCTGTTCTAATCTTCCTCATTGAAAGCAGCGTAGAAAGCGGTGAGCGTTTCGAGAAGCTATTAGTCATGTAATTACCGTAGTATTCCTTCTTTTTGTATGTGTTATTGAAGGGTTTGGGTTAGTAAAAATTGCACATCAGTATACTCTTCCAGGCTCTGAAGAAAGCGATAGTACAGAAACGCCAGCGATTGTTGTATTGCATTGTGTTTTTCTATGGGAGTAAATGTATGCTGTTTAAAAACCTCGCGATTGCTGAACAAGAAAACGACGCATTCATATTCCAATGCCGAGGTCAATAGAAAGTCGATCCTGGGAGCTATGTTCATAGTTATCTTAATGTTGTTCGTTTGTATGTTCATAGTGCATAATACGGTATTTTCCACTAACTCATCAAGACTACAAGTTATCGACAGCTGCAACTAGACAAACCTATGAAGAGGAGCGACAAACAGCGTCCCATTTCCCACCTACTGGGAAAGCGGGCAAGTGGTACGCATGTTTCTGCTACTCAATAATTTAGATATATAAGGCTTTTCCCACATAGTTACCAAACGTGTCTGGGGAGCTTATAGAGAATTCATTGCTTATAGCGAGCAGAAAACAGTGATTAATGAATTAAAAATTCGACCATGCTCAAAAAATCACCAATTTGGTAGGGAAAATACTATGCTGCTGCAGCTGTATGGCTGGAATTTAAAACGAAAACCAAAGACGGTTTATAAACTAAGCCTCACCTCCCAATGATTCCGTAACCTCTCCACTTGATCTGCTCGAGCTCGACAACATTGACGTTAACGAACAAACCTCAGTGGTCTCTTTCTCTTCCCGGGCCAGCTAAAATTTCCATAATAGTAGCATTAACAAATTTCAGACCAGGTGATTTTTAACCACATTGCCACTACTCGCTAGGTGCGCTCTTTTTTCCTCGTGTATACATTTTGGTTTGGAAAATAGCACCAAACAAGGTTGAAATCAGCAATGAGGAAGACGATTAGTGGTATGAGCTCACACACCTGTTCCTTAAGCTTTTGGTATTCCTGGGAAGGATAGGTGGTCATGAATTTCCGAAATTCCTCAGACAATTCGTCCTCTTCACTGTAAAACACTAACATCCAAATAAATATTTCCACATTTTTTCTCAATGAATATATCACTCAAGTGGTTTAGACACGATATTGTACTATATATGTACCTTTGAATAGGTATAATAAACTAGAGATCCACTTCTACAGCACCTGGATACTTGGATGGGCCGTCTTCAATGATTGTGTGGGCCACAGCATAATATTCATTCTCCGGAGATTTGCTGGTTTAGCCACAGTGGTTACTTGGAGTCCCGAGGACAGCCTAGCCAAAATCTGCCTATACAGTACCACCCATGTTATTTTAAAAGCAGTGGAAAAGTAAACACTTATTGGATCTAAGAGGAGGTGGACAGCACAGTGGTAGTGATGCCCGTCATCACTAGCATGGTATTTGTTCAATTCCGTTCCGGGCCAACGAAGTCTCTTATCTCTCCGAGGTCGGGTAATCGCTGCTGGACTTGTCTGGGAAAAACCACTCTCTGCAATCTAATTGGGAACGCTCCAGCACGGCTATCTCAGGAGTCCAGGGAGAATTGCTCGACCAGCATTCTACGATATTCAAGATGAAATGGAAATCCTCAAGCAGCAAGCGAAGCCACACGTAAAAGTTGGAGGATCTTCGCGAACAACGGATGCGAGGAAACGAATCGAATGTGAGAAGTGCTGGGATCCGCACAGTGGACGTGAAGGCGGGTCATATAAAATAAAATATTCGATCTAATGTGTTAGTAAATGAATGCATCCAAAACTCCAAGTCAACAGAGTTATGTATTTGTAGGTCATTCATTGGTTTGATGAGAGCGCTCTACGGAGTATTTCAAAAACATCAATCAAAAATCAAAAACAGTGTATTTTAAAACGGCGTAAAAAACCCACGCATTAGCAGAGATGCTAGTTCTGCTGGTAATTTGTTGAAACGGTAACTAGTGATCTGATAGATTTACGGAACGAATTTCGTCCTAGCGTTCTAAGATTACATTCACTCCGAAATATTTTCTCCTACTGCGATTCTTTTAACTTAAAATGCCATCTACATAAGAAAAAATTTTTTAGCTCATGCATGACAACCACGATGAATTTTGGACGAAAACCCTTTCCTTCAAGCTGAAATTTTGCTCGTTTAATTGTCATGCTGCTCAACGGTAATCGACGAAAATGAAAAAGAAACTATTCTCGAGCTCCAGAAAAAGTAGAATTTTGTCCTAGTAAAAAGAAAAGAATTGTGTAGATTATACAACACATTTTTTAACACAGAAAAGCGATCTCACTTTCATTTAAATTTGAAGAAATTTTTCCGCCTACGCATTCAGTTAACGCACATTGTTGTATATGTGTCAAAATACTCTTCTTATACGATTGACTGAATACTGCTCTTGAAAGAATTCCCCAAAAAGGTGAGCAATTTATTTGGCGTGAAAAAAAACAATAAAAAGCTACAAACAGGTTGAGTTTCCTTTCGACTTCATCGATTCTGTTTGATAAGGCACGTTGCCGATCAATAAGTTCCCGAACACGAAATAATGACTCTTCCATCGAACCGAGAGCCTATAATATTTCTCTCACCAAGCCTATCGTTTAAGTGAAACTGACCTTTTTTATACACAACAGTCTCTCTTTACTCTTTCCTTTACTTACTTAGATACTTAGATAGCCCGACCTCACTGGTTATGCGAACCCCAGCATAATTTCCATTTTTCGGAGTTTTCCTGGTTTAAAGATTGTGCTTATCTGGAGTTTCGAGGTGAGCCTAGCCAAAGTCTGCTCCAGGGTGTTACCACCTGAAACAGTCGCAGCCCTTGTGGAGATTTGCCACCATCCGACTTTGATACCAGAACGGTGGTGGGTTCTGGTATTGGTTTACTCTTAGCTAAGATTTCTGATGGAAATCCTGAACTCCTCAGCATGGGAGACCCCGCTGAAGGGATGGATTCTCCAACTGTACATCGCGACCCCGAACCCAGGAACACCTCCCAGCCGCAATGAGGCGGTAAACCGTTGGAAGGTCTCCTTGTTTTATATTTCCAACAATATTATAAGAAACAAGAAACGCCAACTTGGATGTGTAATGGCACTTCTAATTTGGGTGGTCTGTACAGTTGCATTATTTGCCATTTTTCAACATCTGCACAATACGACATAAGAAAATAGATTGAAAATAAACTGAAGAATAAAGAGATCATAAGAGCGGTTAGTGAACAAAGATCCATGTTAACTTTGTTATTGGTAAAACGTAATGTAAACTACACTCAATCCGACTATAGCTGTTAAAACCATAGTATTTAAACTACCTAGACAAAAATCCTAAGACTTTCTCGTCCATCACGTTCTCTACAAGAGTTTCCTTCCGATAACTTTCAAATTTTCAAACTTCCGAACTCTCCTATCGAACTCACGTGAATAGACAATGACAGACAACAAACTTGGTTACAACCGCAGCTCATCATGTTTAGTGGCGGAACCAAATCGCCAGACGTGTATGCTTCAAATTCCGACTGTTCCATCTTCAAGCTAGCGTAGTTCATATCCTGCACGAACTGCAGCGCACACGAGAGGTTGGTGAAAAAATATCCTGAAACTTCCTTGTTCCCCACTTAACAACGGAAAATTATTGAAAGCAAATTGTGACACAATTACACCACACGATATAAGATTACCATGTGAAGTAATCATACCATCGTTACTTAGTACGTCCTTTACTATACTCTTCATTTGTCATTCAATTGCATATCACTATGCCCTTCCAGGTTCTGAAGAAAGCGCTTCTGCCGAAGCGTCAGGTACGATTGTTGTAGTGTGTTATTGTATGGAAGTAAACGTACGCTTCTTGACAACCTCGCGATTGCTGAGAAAGAAAACGCCGCATTTATAATCCAATGCCGAAGTTAATAGAAAATCGATTTTGGGAACTGATACTCTTCATCGTCCTATACTTGGATGCTTCGCTTTTTTGTCATTCAGGAACCAGTATATCTTTCACGCACTTTTTCCATCGTTATAGTCGTATATGCTGCTGTTCCAAGCATGCGACCTCCACAAGTATCTTTCCTTCATCCATTTGTTGCTTGGAACCGTGAATACATTCCGTTCACATGAGTCGCAAACATTTCCGCAGATATTGTAAGCGGTCGTCTAACATAATTTTCGCGTAACCCTCAAGTGCACTCCACTGTCTTACTCCTCTACTTGTTGTCAATTTTCCCCTCATTAAATGGCATGAAATCCAAGTTCCGCTTCCCATTATTCTAATCCATTTCCGAGATGAGACTATTCCTTAGCTTGGATTGCGCATACTGGCATGATTTTGTGGTGTCAGCTATACAGAAAAACCCTTCAAATGTCCTTTGAGAGATGCACAGAAAGCTTACTGGAGCGTTATCGCACGCCTTTGCTGTACAGCAAAACGATAGCAATGAAGAAAGCCAGTGTGTAGTTTCGTGGCTTGTAAGTTCTCAGAAAAGCACCCATATGGCTCTCTCCTCTCATGTTCAGCACAGTCCCTTTTTCACGTCGTTTTCCATCTTCGTTGAAAGCACTAACTATGATGTGGTTTCTCTAATTAGGAAATCAGTGTAACCGAGTATTTCGATTTTGCTGGTACTTCATACAGGAAATTCTAGGACCCCCTTTCCTTTAACATCGGCATTGATCAAGAATTCACTGTTTCCTTGATAAGCAAACACGAGAGTGTAATTTCAGCACTTACCCATTCACAATAGCTGATGTTTCGGCGGATTCGCCTTCTTCAGAATTTGTAAAGGTCAAATTGACACGCAATCTACTCAGCCAAACACTTTCAATATCTCAGCTTTTCATTCGCATTATAAACAAATGAAAGCTTTTCGCTGATTAGATGGGGCATCAGTTTGCCTTTTCGAGGTTCCGAAGAAGAGGAAACCACCGAAACCTCAGCTATTGTGAATGAATAGATGCTGTAATAAAACCTTTCTGCTTGCGCATCAAGAAAACAATGGATTATTTCGATTTTTTTATTTCCTCACCATAATTTCATCGTACATTTTGCCTCCTAATTTGTGCGCACTCTCATCTTTCCTCGCACTTCATCGAGCTCCTTGAGTGTCAGCTCTTTTTCAGCAGTGTTGTTTGAAAAGATAGAGACATAAACGAAGATTAGATAGAAATTGGACACTTGAACTCCTTTCCACTGAAGTGGTATGAGTTCCACTTAAAAGCCTCATCTTCCTACTACAGTTGTGATATCAGTCAGCTAGTTCCTACGCAAAACGGATCCACTTCGTGATCGATAAATCGGTTGGTTGACCGATCAGAACATAACCTAATAGCAACTATATTTGAACATGAACTAGTCGAAATACCACTGTTACTCTCTACGAAACATCAAACCAATGGACTATGGAAGACCTTAAATGCACGCTATCTCACCAGATTCACCGCTCATAATTCGTGACGGAAGTGCAAATCGGCTGATAAATTTCACGTTTGACTGAATTAGTGGGGGATTCCCTTTAAGCAGAACATAGATAAGCACAGGAAGAAATTCATCTGCGCTCGTAGGTGCACCTAAATAATTACTATGAACACTACACAAGAATTTCATTTGCAGAAAATTTACGAATTGTGACCTCCTAAAGAAATCAAATGTGATATGGCGAGTTTGGATAAAAACGAACTATTAAAAACAACTTTTTTGGCCGTAATTTTAACTGATACCGTATATCAATACCATCGACTTCAAAGTCTATAAGGGAATGTTAGTTAGCAGATGTAATTCAAAGCATTCCTTTATGTATATATTAGCAGATTAGCACCTATTATATACTAACTTGTGATTCTCGAAATCACTAGGAAAAGTTTAAGCAAAAGCCTACATTAAACAAACAAAAAAGGAGAAACATCTCGGCGTCGAACAATCCCCGTGGGATGCGCCATGCATTCGGCTTCATTAAGCATCGTTTGGAGGTGATTGAATGCACGTCTGAGCTTTACAATGACTCGCAGTGGCCTAACGATATATCGAGCCAGTGCTGCTATCCTTCCAGGAAAGTCCGGTACCAATTTGTCGACCTCGGAGGGATGGAAGACTTGGTTGGTACGCGGGGATCTATCCAATGTGTACTGCTGGGCGCCTATGACCACTGCGCTACACTCGCACCAAATCACACCCCAATTAACAATGAACACTATTTAATCCAAATCTGCTAACAAGATTCTCATTCTACAACGGTAAAACCTTGAAGTTTTTTTAGAATTCATAAAACGTGTTCTTTTCAGCCCATTTTCATCCAAGCTCGTATCCATTATGCTGAAACGACCGAACAGACGGGATTATATCTAAAAAAATGCCTTGCCAATGACGTTCTTACCCTACTCCTCTGCGTTAAATGACTTGTAAATTTTGCCTCCATTTTCCACTCCAACACACTCGCACGTTTTTCAATAACTGCCGGTAAATTTTCCGTATAGAACACTTGGGTACTCAACAAATTGATAGGCTTACAGAAAAGGCCTTTGATTTCCATCGAACGAAATAAGTGAGTTTTCGAAAATGCCATCATAGTTTCAAGGCTCTTTAGGATTCGAATTTATCTACTTATATTTAACCAAATTTAAAAAACTAAAAGCGAAACTCATACTCACACAAATTTTCAACGCAGACGCGACAATTATAAACAACCAGGGTGCAATGAGGTACGCAATCATGCCCTGTTCTATGAAATATTGAACACTAACTCGTTTCGATGTTCGAGAAACAGGTCTCAACGAAAGTACAGAAGAAAACGTTTTACGAGCTGCAAAAAATCATGACATTACCTCTAGAGTAAAAAGAACTTTTACTTCACTGGCAAAGTTTTCTAGAGATTCTAGTGATGTTCTACCACGAGTTGATTTGGTTTATTTAAAGTTTAGCGTAGTAGTTAGTTGAGAGTATATACGTGTTGAAATCAATGGTTGCCGACAATAATGCAACACTTCAGAAAAAAATATTCATACCATAGATCGCTATTAGTTATACAACGGAGCAATGCCTTTTCTCTAAATATGTTAAGTCCAACAACAACGATGCTGAAATATTTTGCAAAACTCCGGGCCGCAAATGTTTGCAGCGGGGAGCGAACCTCGTTATTAGGCTTTCCGGGGGCTAACGTGTTCACCGCCACACCAAGCTTTTCCTTTGTTTTGCCTTTCTCTGTGACTCACATCATACCCTACCATGAGAAGAGAACAGGCAGTAAGTAAAAACTGATTTATTATGTCAAGTCTTCTTCAATTAAATTAAATAGTTATTGGGAAATATGTTGAAGCCGAGACAAAACAGAAGTCACCCGATCCTGCTGCTACATAAAAACAAGTCGCTATCACCAACATACTACACTTCATCTATTAATGCCTTCCAGGAACAGATCTAGTTCCATTTTAACTAAGGCCCCACTTGTTACTTTTCCAAGTAGTGCACTTCTTTATTTGAAAGGACGGTTTCTTATGAAAGTCACAATCGTAAAAGACCAAGTAAATGCTTATTCGAGCAAAACGAGAAATAAAAATAGTGAAATGAAATAACTACTTACAACTCTCTTTTAGTGCTTCGAAGATCTTATGGGAACACCGTACAAGGCATCCTAATTTTTCATCTGACCTTCTATGGATATTAATGTCGATCATTTCAGCAATGGCGTCGTCGAGAAGATCTCGCACCTAAACGTTTACCAAGTAACCTTAGCATCCTAGTCCCATTTGAGAAAGCGTGAATGTCACTAAAACGGCAAACTATGTGGAAATTAAAACATCTCCTAAACAACTTACTGTCTGCCGAGTAAAATCCAGTTTTGTTTCTAGGAATCCAGCAGTTACCCAATTCAATGATCGTATTCGTTCTTGAAGGGATAAATCCGCAACTTCCTCGTCAGAACTAAAGAAACCGGTTCTCTGTGCGACACGCTTACCGAAGCAATGCGGTAGATATTGAAGACTTACCTAGCGCAGAACAAGTTGGTATAGCAGCATATACAAATGTATTTCTCCACTTCTTCTACTACATCCTCGACTTTTACTTTACATTCTGAAGTTTATTATGGCAAAGAATGCAGAACGGTTACAGCCATCAACTGTAAAACAAGAGAACTCCAGTAAAAACACTCACTTTCCTGCACAAAGTATGGATTTTGGTTCAGTTTATCTAACAAATATTGATAGAAAGTTTGAAGAAGCTCAGACAATTCATCTGGAGTAACTCGCAGCTGCAAAACAAAAGATACACGAAAAAAAGGATAGACAAAATCAAAAACAAAACCTGCCTCGTGAATTTTTGCTACGGCATACTTAACTTGTCGAGTTACTTCTTGGAGCACTGCTGTCGATAGATTCGTCACAAGAAAATCGGTTAGCACTTCACGTGCCGCCATGCTATCTGGACTTAGCTGTCTACTTCTGGAAGATCAAAATAGATTAAGAAAGTCAAGAGAAAACTGTATCGAAGTCATAGATTATTCTCGAAGGAATTTAAAATAAAACTTTAATAAAAGAAAAGGAGAACGCAGAAGGCATTCACCTCACGGGCTTCTCACTTGGCGAGACTTGCTGTCCAAGTATAAGCGGATCACCTACATAACAAGTCGTTTAGACGGAACGTAAAGAATATGTACGCACAATATGAAAGATGTTTTTTTACACAGCCGTGTTATTTCTCAAATATACTGACAATTTACTCAACAAAACATTAAGACTTAAGAGCAACAACTGGTTGGCAAACTGACTCGATGTCGATGTGAGCATGGACGGCGAGCGGAAGATCTTTTTAATCGTCGTTCTACTTTCTGTTGTCATTTTGCGCCGTTCTTGGAAACTATCGAAACTAAGCAACGTCCTAAAAATACTTCCATTAAAGAGTTTTAAACATAAACTGTAACAAAACACAACTCTCTCAATTCTATGACCGCATGTTCCACATAAATATATAGAGCTAAGAAGCTCTAAAAGATCCCGGCGTTGATCTATCTGTGAAGGATGCGTCATGCATTCGACTTCATAAGGAATCGTCGGAGGTGATTGAATGCATATCAGCCTTTTACAATGACTCCCGGTGGCCCACCGGTGTATAGAGCCAGTGCTGCTATCCTCCCAGACAAGTTTGGTACCAATTTGCCGATCCCGGAGAGATGGAAAGGCTTTGTGAGCCTGGGGTGTCGGGATCGATCCCATGTATATTGTAGGGCGCCTCCGAACACACGCCTATGCATAAATAGATAAATAAATAAATAAGCAAAGAAATAAATAAATTATGTATACACATACGTGCACACATATACATTTATACAAGTATATATATTACATATGATTATGTTAATAATCAAAGTTGAACAGCCACTATGATAGACCAATCGTTCATGTTGGGTACCTTGTACAAAAACCACCTACTGGTTTCGTTAGTTACTTGCACTCTATTACCATTTTCTTTTTTTATGGTCAGGTTAATTATCTTGCTGTGTGTTACCTAAAGTGCTGGGGATACAAATCGGTAGTTTATTCGAAACTCCTGTTGTTGTACATTTCAGTGGTAGCCCTGAACTGTATATATACTCTACATCCCCTTGCTAAAAACGATGAAGTTTCATATAAAAACTGAAACTGGCTTCCTGTCCGTGTTCACTGAGACAACAATCCACTGAGCAAGTGTGACAGGGACAACTGAAGACTTTACTGGTGCTTTCTCCATACCACGGGTAATAAGATTGCAAGTACTACATGTTGTACAGGTGATGAGGCAAAATGTGTATAGTTTTATCGCTTATAATGCGGATATTGAAAAAGTGATACCAAGGATATAAGCTATTACGGGAAGAAATACCTATTTACTTTTTTAAATGGATACTTCGATGACCCTTCTTCACTGGTTGTGAGGGCCTCAGCAAACTTCCGCTTTTTCGGAGTTTTGCTAGTTTTGCCATTCTGGTTCTCTGGATTCTCGAGGTCAGTCTAGCCAAAGTCCACTCCGGGTCATTAGCACCACAGGTTATCGCCGCTATTGTGGATCAGTGGGAGATTTGCCATAATACGACTAGTTTGATACCAGGACGTTGGTGGATGCTGGCACTGATTTATTCTTAGCTAGGCTTCCTGATGGAAACGAGCACCTAGCCGCAATGCCGTTGGGAGGACTACGGAAAGAAATATGATCAAATATCATACAACACCATTATTAAAGCGTCAAGGTGCAGTTGATGAGCGAAAACCGAAATTATAACAAAGTCACTTGTTCTTGGCGTAATCTTGGCTACGTTTCTCAGCAATTTGGTGTTCACGCCAACACTTCGAACATCGATTTCCCCATTGTGGTGTACCATAGAAACCACATCCATTGACACATAGCTAAAACAAAGGAAAGTCAAGAGAGTAGGTAGATGAAGTGACATTTAGCTCTTTTCTTTGTCTTTGATCTGTTATCTTTGAATGCAGTTTCAAAGCTTGAAACTTCATCAGGACTATCATGGTAGAACGATTTGTGGAACCAGTAAATTTCTTTAAATACACCTAACGGAGATGTCGAAAGAAAAGAGAACTAGATGAAATTGAAGTCACAACGATGGTTAGCAAACCCGAGGCTTTTTGTAACACTGCCTACATGAAACAAGTGGAATTTCATTTATGAACCCACCAAATCCTTCTCGTTGATTTGGACTTTAAACCGATGATTTTGCTCGGTTTCTTCGCCATCACGAATCAATTCAGCTTCGTCAGTAGACGTCATAGCTGATAAAACCAGTTCCTCAAGGTATTAAAGTAACAGAGAAACAAACAAGCTATCAACAATTAACACTGAAAATTATCTGATTAGTAACGTTATAGAAGAAAGAAATAAAACAAAAAACGACAAAAAAATGGCGAAACACCCGAAAAAATGAATTCCGCAACTCGGAGTAGAAAAATCTCAAACTGGACCAACGACAGCGAGTCTGCTCATTTTCGATAAACACTCACGCTTTAGCCCCAGGAAAGGGTAGCAGGTTTCATCCCTACCACAGACACCTGCGGTCCGGAGTTTTGCAAATATCCCAGCATCGTGGGTATATTTCACAGCACACTCTGCCATTAATAAAGAATAGACAGTAAATCAAAAGTGATAAAATTGATGAGATTTCTATGGAAACCACCGAAGTCATCAGATATAGCTACCCTATGAAGGACGAAGCACAGCCGTGACCTATATGCCTAATTCGACAAGTACTTCCGAGTAAATGAAACAATACTCTGCCAAGAAATTAAAGAAAAAAGTAGTGGAGTGGCACCATGGGTGAACATGGAACTGAGCGGATCTGCACTTGGAGGAAGCACGCAGGACACAGGCGACAAGTGCGGGCACGCGGACGGCCACGCCCCGTCAGCACCTCTGCCGCTCGATGGGGCGGCCGGATCCGCGCGGCGGCGCTTAGATTCCACCATGGTCAGAGCCGAAGCCTATACCCTTAGGCGTCGGTCGATCGCTAAGAGATACGCCATGCATTCGACTCAATTCGTAACACCGCTGAGGATGATTGAATCCATACCTGACATTCACAATGACTCGCTGTGGCCCACCGAAGTGTTAGGTCAATTGCTGATTTTGCTCGTATCCTACATAATACGTTGCCATGAAAAAATGAAAGGCGGCGGATAAAAAGTTAAACAATGTGAGGTCGCTGTTGCACTATCCTCTCAGACAAGTCTGGTAACCACCTTGTTGACCCCGAAGCGATTGAAGGCCTGGTAAACCTGGAGCGCAAGATCGAACCAACGACCATGAATGCATTGCAAGGCGTCTCCAACCACTGCGCTTCACGCGCCCTTATAATAGTCAAGCAGAATGACCGTTTTATCTTAGAGATCTGTATAGAGATAGCTGAATTCTCATCAGATATCTACATGGACTTGAGCGTAATGATGCAAGTGTTCATGTTTTTCTTCTCCAAGACTACTCTGGTTCCAATTTTCCGACTATATAGGAATGGAGGGCTTGGTTTGTACGGAACGGTGTGTATGGGACCAGCGATAATGTGCGTATTGCAGAATTCCTTCACCAATGTGCTACATGCGTTCTTCATATAGTGGAATGTATGTTGGATGTTAAATGCATGGCGCTTTAGTCACGGCCAGCGCCGAAAGCTTTGTCCTTCATCCTTTATAGACGACTGCCCACCAGAATGAGTGCTATCTTAAGTTTTGCTGCAAGAGGTAAGACAGAAGATTTGGCAATCAGTTACCTCTGGAGGAAGGAAATACTAGAATTGTTACAATTGTTTGTGATACAACCACAAAGATATCCTGAGATATTTGCAAAATTCCAGACCGCAGGTGCCTGCGGTAGGGAACAAACACGTTGTTAATCTTTCTTGGGGCTAACGCGTTCACCACCACACCATGGGGGCCCTTCGTTTCGCCTGTCCTCAGCTAGTTCTATCGATCAGTTCCATCAGCAATCACCCGTCGAGGCGATTGACTAGGGAACCACAAATCGTGAACCCAATTAAGCTGAAACTGCAGTATAAATCACAATATAATCATTTTTTATTTACTGCCTCTTCTTTTCTCATGGCAGGGTGTAATGTGGTATAATGTGTAAAAACACGGCTGAGAAAAGGCGAAACGAAAGACCCATGTGGTGTGGTGACGAACGCGTTAGTCCTCGGAAAGGGTAATAGCGTGTTCGATCCACACCGCAAACACTTGGGGTCTGGAGCTTTGCAAATATCTCAGCATCACTGTGGTCATATCTCACATTATATCCCGCTATTAGAAAAGATAGAAAGCAAATAAAAGTAATTACATCGTGAATTCAATGTTTTTCATCAATAAGCAGACACGAGGTTGTTAATATAGAATTTATTAGAACACAATTGCTGACGTTTCGGCGGTTTCGCCTTCTTCAGAGCCTGGAAAGGTCAAATTGAGATGCGATCTACTCAGCCAAACACTTTCATAACCCTAGCAGATAAAACTTGATAAATCGATTTGTGTTCGCATAAGAAACAGCTTCATTCAAACACCTACCGTTTATTTGTTGTAAGTATTTAAGTTAGTTGGTGGATAGCCGCCGCACAGAGTAATACATGGTCGATAACTGGGTCCATGTCAGATCATTGGATCAGCCTGAGGTATGGCGCTAGGTCACGCGTGATGACAAGACACTCCTCCTTGCGGTTCATTTTTGAATTTTTGGCATTGATCCAAAACGCTTCAAGAGTTTTTGCGGACGTCCGCATAAAAGAACACCTAGTCGGTAAATCTAAACTAAAACACAATACCCCACTAGGCGCGCATAGGATGCAAGAACACAACGGAGAAGATTTTGAGGTAGGAGTCACTATCCTTACGCAGGAATCGAAAACATCAGCGCGCTTTTAACTTTTAAGCTTTAAGCCAACTTTTAAGCCAACTTCAATTTAACTTCGGCATGGGTGGTCTACATTAGTTTTCTGTCAGCCATGTTTAAACCTATAGGAGGTTTTAGCAAACACCCGTCAACTGGATTAGTCTGAGGAGCACAAATCGGCGATGAACACCCAGCTAGTCGAAATCACAATGTTAGCTTTTAATTTACCCTACCCCCTTCCCACCGATACAATTCTTTACGGCAGTATGTTATGTGTGATACAACCACAATGATGCTAGAGTTTTGCAAATATCTCAGCAACACGTATTCTTTCTTGATAAGCTTGCACGAGGTTGATAAATATATTTATTTTCGGCTAACGTTTCCACGTCTTCGTCTTCCTCAGAGCCGGTGATCCGAGTCGATGGTCCATGCTTGTTGTTCGCCTCGACGTTGCGTCTTCGCCTTCCTGTCGAGCCAGATCTTCCTCAGCGAGCCATCTTCTCGAATGAGGCATCCTCACTCAGTGATGCCCTTTTATACACGATGCTGATGGTGGATATATAATGACAATGTCCGGTGGTAACAACTTGTATTTCTTCCGGACATACATCATTGCGCACATCGTGCAGAGGTCGGT